CCCCCCCCTTTCTCCCTCGTGCCTCCGTGACCTCCATCACTCTCTGTCTCTCTCTCTCTGGAGAGGCTGCAAACAAGCGAAAGACGTGAATGAGGGTTAGCGCAGGAGATAAACCGTCTTTAATGGTAACTGGAAGATCCCAATCACGAGGCAAACATTGCTCTTATCTCAGAGAGCAGTGTGCCTTCACTGAGGGTTTCCGTGCGCATGCACATGTATGTGTGCAGACAGCAGTACAAATGAAGCGCCGGACGATTGATAGAAAGCTTGCTGACGCGGGGCAGATCTTAGCTGAACCGTTGTGTTCACATGTGAAAAAGAGAACGAATGTGAAAACAACAGTGGCCGAACATAGAAGCAACATCGGGGTTGTTGATGGAAACGCTTTCTTGGTATAATCTCTGGAGACAGATAAGACCAGAGTGAGAACAGCAGAGCAGGAAGGGCAGAAGTGAGACACACAGCTGCTGGAGGAATTGATGAGAATGGACTGTACCTGAGAAAACCACTGCTGTTGGACGCTTTGGGCCACTTTGACTGTGTTATTGGGAGAGTGATTGAGTGACGCTATGGGTGATTAAACAAGTACTCAGGCACAAGGCTGGACAAGGTTATGTGTATGTGAGTGTGTATATCATATAAAAGGACTGTTAAAGCCATGCAATTATCCCATTCAGGATTGTTTGGCTTTACAAATAGATATAAACCAGAAGCTAATCAAAAATACCCTCAAATTGCTGCATCTGTGCTTTACCAACGTCCTGCTAGTAATAAAATAAAGTACACTGCGAAAAAGAACGTGAAGCTTGCATAGGCTAAATGCAACATGCAAACAACAAAATGACCTTTATAAAGATCTAGAGTCCATATGAGTAGCTGGTACTTAAAAAATCTAAATACCATTTTAACTGAAGACCGAGTGCCCTGCTATATATTTCCAAGAGTTTGTGGATGTTAGTTTTAAGTACGCATGCCTTTTTCTTGAGGTTTTGTGTCCATCGTATAATTTCCTCATATATATCAGCAGCTCTCTTAATGCAAAACCGTAGCGCTCGTGTTGTTTATATGTCGGTACGCACTCCTCCTTATTCCTCAAGTCTGCCTTTCTTTCCGCCAGCAGAGTATCTCAGCAGAACAGACCCCCATATTAATGAGGTTATGGTAGAGGTTCCCAGTGCTGGGCGCTGCTTTAAATATTGACACCATGTGACTTGACCTTGTGTCCTCTGGCAACCAATCAATGCTGCAAACTCTGCGTGAGCATTATAATTCAACATGTAGGTGTGTGCGTGGAAGAGTTAAGCAAGTGGCTGACTTTTAGAGAGACCAGGATCAGCACTGACAAATGCCACATGACAGAAACGTCATCTATACAATATCCAATTGCCACACGCAGATATTCACACATTCTGGCTCGTGTGCTGCTTTCTTTGTCCCTAAAAAAATCATTTAATAACCTTATCACCAGATTACAATTGAACTTAGGAAGGATGAAGATTATATCCAATACAATTAAGAATTTTTGATCCTATTAGGCAGATAAGTCTCCCGCACACAATGCTTCAGCAAATCAATAGATCTATAAATACACAGAATAGCACCACAGCTTCCTGTCACGTGACCCAAACCTCAGGGGTGATTACCTGGCACTCCACCAGTCGTTTTGCTGCCAATTAACCTAGAAACTTAATTAAGAGAGTTAATTATTAATCGGCCCTCAAGAGGCATTTTTGTTTGTCAATTGGTTCTTGGCTGGGTTGGTGGAGTGTGGCCTCTGCTTCCGAGAATAGTAAACTTTTGCTTCTTGCTGTAATTAGATTGAAAGACAAAAGTAAATAATTAAGTCTTAAAGGGTTTTACAAAGGCAGAAGGGAACATAGTAGTTGTTTGTTTCAGTTATAATAATTTGAAAATAGCATTCCAGAGAGGATACGTTGTTTTCTGAAAGATCGGGCAAATGGTTAAAAACTTTAAGAATAACATTTCAAATTACAACTGCATCAGTAAATGAGCAGAGAAATCTGTGAATCCAAAGGAAAAGGCAGAAAACTAAGAGTAAATGACTGTAATCTTCAACCACAGATCTCCAGGAGAAACCTCTGTACGGGCACAAACGGGGGCATGGATATAGCAGAGGTTAGTCATTGACCCCTGGTAGCCACTGGTCGCTAATTCACGCTAGCG